CTCCTCTCCAAATAACTTCTGCTTAGCTTTCCGAGCTTCCCTCGGGTCCTCTTAATTGTTGCGACGCGTGTTCGAAACGAGAGGTGCGCTCGATTTGCCACACGGAGCAGCGCGAGAGTAAAGCACGAGGGAGGTGCTAATAATCGGCTCAGTCATTTTTAATGATCGTTGAAAGCCCAGATCGTAATTTCGATTAAAATTCGATTAATTGAGCAGCCCTGAGTCAAACTTTAACAAATCGTTCTGTCTGCAGGATACATCACTCCCCCGTGTGTTTAAGCTGTTCAGAGCCCTGGGACTGAGACACCTGGTGGTGGCAGATGATGTGAACAGGGTAAGACGGTGTGTTTATGTTTCAGTGTAAAGGATTTTTGTTTGGTTGTATTTCCCCACATACTTCACATTTATTTTGCTATGATGATTGTCCTGATTAGTTTTTTTTTTTTTTTTTTTTGGTTTGTCACCTCCTGCAGGTGATTGGACTGGTGACAAGGAAGGACTTGGCCAGATATCATCTGGGCAAACATGGGCTGGAGGAGCTGCAGCTTGCCCAGACATAGTGTGCCCACATACACACGCCCATAGACTGACCACATGTTGCCTCAGAAGCTGTTGACCATCCGTTTGGCAGCCCAGAAGGACGCCTTCAAGGGCCAAAGATCTCTTTTTTGAATCATTCTAAAAAACATCCACCCCTCTGTTAACGCTGAGTGACGGCATTTTCTTCTAAAGGATTCAAATTAATAGTTTTTCCAGGATAATTCCAGGAACTGTATTTTATTTAATAATTCACCAGATTTTTGCGCTGAGGCAACAAATGATGCTTGACTTTCTTGTCTTTTATTCTTAATCGTTTTGGTTGTTTAGTTGTTTTTCACACACTTTTACAGAGTTTTACACACACACACACACACACACACACACACACACACACACACACACACACACACACACGCACGTCAATGGCCCCAAATAAAGTTGGACTGGATCAGTTAGAATGAAAATCAATTTGCTTATATTCTAAACAAATCTGTTTAATTTTTGTTAACTTGGAAAATATTTTGCGTTGTTAGCCACAGCATTTAAACCAGTGACGGATGAAGTGAATCACTCATCTCAGCAGCGTTGTGCTGGGAAACACTGTTGCAGACTGAGCATGCTCCCTCATTGTAACAGACTACATGGAAAAAATACTCATGAGCAGCATGATAAATAACCCGAGGTGTTGACCCAGCCTCCAAACTTCCAAGTTTTTAATCCAGTCAAGGATCCGTGGAACCCATCGGATCACCCCTGAGAACCCACTCCCCAACCATCAGCTCCCAAAGGATTTTCTTAGTGCATTTCTACTGTTGTTAGTCCCATTCTGCCTCCCTACTTTCATAAACTGTTAAATGTTAGTTCCTTCATGAGGTTGTGTAGCTGGATGCTGTGGAAATGCAGGTGTACAGGATGGTAACTTGCTTCAGATTGTGTGCTTCAGATTTTATATTCCTGCTGCTGCGCTACAGGATACTTTGAAGTGTTTTGCTTAGAAAATCTGATTGTGAGTTGTCGTGTTCAAGAGCTGGTTTAAAGCACAGCTACCGACCACTGAAGGTTTGCAATGATATCTGTGTTTGTGTAGTTTTGCACTGAAAGACTGCTGTTATTTATTGTACTACTTAGATTGGTACTCAAAGGTACTTTTTCCACCTCTGAAAGTTTGCACTTTGACCTGCTACTGAAGACTTCCCACGAGTGTCCCTATTGGAGCTCTGTATGAATGTAAACAATAGTGTGCCACATATCTTCTTTGCTACCCTGACAACACATTTTTCTTATTGATTGTAATCGTGTCTGTTTGTATTTCTAACACTTCAGTCAGCAGTGTTGTCGATTTCTTTGGGCTTTTATTGTTTTTACCCTTCCAGATGTAAACATGCAAATGTTGCTCTATTTTATGGATAAACCTTTTTGTGAATGAATAAAGTTTTAACTATTATCATACAACTCTTTTGTACATTTAAGAATGAGTCCAGGCACTTTTCTTTTCAAGCTCCATAGACCGGTGGTTTTAAACTACTGTGCCATAGTAGTATACCAGTGTGCCATCGCAAATTATTTCACTTCAATTAATTGGCCCAAAAGATACAATTTAATAATTACTGCCAATAATCATTGTTGGGCATCTGTGCTTTCACTGCAGTGACTTGTAGTAATTACCACCCACCTGACATGAACGAGTAATTACTAGTCAACTGTTTGCACAAAATACTAGTCCTTAGTTTAGTTCTGTATTATATAAGATGTCCGTCCCAGTCTAAGAGGATCAAATTTCTACGAATGTTTGTCACAGGATCCCAGACACAGAACAGCAGCACATAAACCCTCTGTCCCAAAAATGGACATCAGGGAAGAGCTGGGTCGTATTTGGGAAAGAATGAAGTCAGAAAGGGTGCCTTGCACTCTTGAAGATGTGTTTGTTAATATTTTGGGGGAAACATCCAACCCTCCCACTCCCTTTTCCCCACCTCCTCCTCCTGCTTTCCCTGCTGGACCAGCTGCCCTGCCTCACCCAGCAGCAGGCAGAGTAGAGGATCTGTTACCTACACCCTCCTGAGATCCGCTCCTTTTCTGTCTGAGCACCAACGTTCATGTATAGTTGCTCCAATCACCATGCAGCCATCTCACATGTACAGTCAGCCAGGCACAGCTAGCCAAGGACAGGTGAGACACTCAGACAGTTGTCGTTAGATTTTTATTGATAAAGGTGCTTGAACCTGTTGGATGCTTCAGGCTAATGAAAGAAAAACTGTTTAGTTTGCATGTTTCTGTGCTGTTTATCATTATTAGTCTTTGAAATGCTGGACTAAGTGTCAGTATTATGGATTTTTGTCCTTCTCCATCTCTCCACACAATCTACTGTATCAGTTGCCTGTAAACAACATCCCATCGGCAACAACAGCAGCTGTTCTTCCAGCTCCTCCACCCCACAGCTGCGCTCCAAAGTCAGTTTCTCTGCTGCGTTTTCTCACTGATCTGCAGGTATCTGTCATTTATCTGCAGATGTGTGTGTGAATTATTAAAATCAGCCTCCTTTAATGGTGTCGCCTTACATTCAGTTTCACAGCGTTACTCGTGTTTTTAAAGTACTTTCCTCACAGTTGTACACGGTGGTAACACGTGCTCTCACTCTGGGTTTTATTCCTGTTGAAGCAGCAAGCATCAAACCAAACAGGGTACAGACCAGGCTTACATTAAGAAGCCCCCAAATGCCTTCATGCTGTACCTTAAAGAGCAGAGGCCAAAGGTCAAAGCAGAGCTAAATATCAGTAACAGTGCAGCTGTGAATGCAGCTGTGGGAGAGAGAGTAAGTGTGTAACTCTGAATATATTTATGCATCTGTTAATGTGCATGTGTACCAGCTGTCCTGTAGTCATGTGTAGTAGCAGTGTGGCTGTGTATACGAGCTGACAGTGTGTTCTTGTGATCTTCTATTCACAGTGGAAGTCGCTCTCAAAGGAGGAGCAGAAAATAGATTTTTCTGAATCAGTGTGAAGCCGTCTCCTTGCTCACTCAGCCTCAGTGTCATTCCTTTCACCAGGTAACCTCTGCACCGGTCTTCAAGAAAATCAGACCAACCCTTCTTCTCATGAATTCATCTGCATTATTGGCCTCCTCTGCTGCACCCAATGCACTCCAGACAGAGGCCACCCTCTTCAGGAACATTGGAGAAGATTCTCTATCAATGCTTGAACGTCTTGATCTCCTCCCGGTTACTCCACAATCTCAGCAGCCCTTCTCTTGTCATTCAGATCTCGCTTATGGGGAGTCAGTTAAATTTAGATTTAACTGGCCTTTCTTTAGCACTGCACTTTATAAACTTATGTTACTGAACTGTGTTATCATTTCTGTAAATAAATAAAAAAACAACAAAAGAGGCTTCTTTCAGTTTGTACAGCAGGATGGGAGGGTATAGAAGAACTTGTTCATTACTGATCCTTTGAAGTGGCCCCGCAAAACAGTTCTTTTTACATTTTCAAACATATACCACCCGTCTGTCTGTGTCCACTAGGTGTAAGGGAAAAGCTAGATATAAACTAGCTTGAGAAAATTGTCTCAGGCAGTCAGAGGTGTTACTGTTAGGTGGAGCTGCCCCTCACATAAACGCTTTGCAACTATTTTCACTAAAACCTTTTTTTCCCAAATGAGCATATTTGTGAAAGTTAAATGTAATGCAATCAAAGTTCATTTCCATGTGAGCATTGCTAGACACTGATAACAAAAACATAGTGCCAAGTACGTTGCAAGAGCCAAACATCACAAGTGTCCTTAGAAAATCTGGACTGATGACATCTCATAAAGCTGAGAACTGTGAGAAAGATCAGGTAACAAGAAAGATACATGTATTCCGTTACTCCCCAACACTGGTTGCAACTGATAATAACCATCATTTTCTGTTATTTCAGACACATTGATTGGAATTTGTTTTTTTAACTTGATGGACAATTGTGTTGGACTAAAAAGAAGTTTTTAATTACCTCAGCAGCAATTTGTTGGGAAACCTTGGGTCCTGGGTCTTATGTGCTTCTAATATTGACATGGACCACCTACCCAAACACTGCTGCAGACCGAGCAAACTCCCAAATACTGACAGTCCCCAACTACATGCAAAACATACTCATGAGCTGCTCGAGCAACATGACTGTAAACCAAGATGTTGATCCAGCCTCCAAACTTCCAAGATTGAAAGCCAGTCCAGGATCCGTGGAATGCACCAGAACGAGCCTGATCCACTGAGGACGCCACAGCTCGGGGTGTAAGGGCATTTGTGTCACAACACGGTTTTTCACTGATTGAAATTGTGTTGGTTTGCAAATCTAACAATTCAGTCCGCAGTGTTGTTGTTTTTACACTTCTAGATTTCATCTATTACACAACTCTTCATTATATTTGATCAGCAGGATCCAAACATGAAGTGAGGGGGAAAAAACACATCAGGCAGCCAGGTACTTTTATTCATTTTATTGGCATGTTCAAACCCTGCTTCTTAATCAAAGTCATAAATATAGCTGATCCCAAGTTTTTAATCATATATACCAGTTTGAAATTCAAATGTTGTTTGTGGTACTTGATGGGATTTTAAGGGGGAAAATCCCCCCAAAATTGTAGAATAATAGTGTGAAAAATAGAAATTTTTCATGCCATTATTAGAAATAGTAGACAGATGAACTTTGTACACCACATCAGTGCTCTGTACACTCACTGGCCACTTTGTTAGATACACCTTGCTAGTACCAGATTGGGCCCATTTTTGCTTCCAAAGCATTAAAATGCTCAGTTTGCATTTCAGCAGGTCTTTCTGTCCATGTTGACGTGCCTAAATGCACTGGGTTGCTGACATGCGATTGGCTGATCCCATATTTGCATTAATGAGCAGCTGAATGGGTGTACCTAACAAAGTGGCAAGTGAGGGTATTTGTACTGGACTAAAAGAGACATAAAGCTGTAAAATTGTCCACAAACATTAAAGTCCCGGGTAGGATGCTGAGTAGTGTTTACAGATACAGTATGTTTCATGTGGGACTTCATGAGTGCTTTGTATCATAAATAACCAATCACACGAGTTTAAAAACAGTTATTTTTTTCTGGGAGAAACTAACATCTGCTTTTGTAGTTCAGAAAAAGGCCAATTTCTTATAATGTTGGCACATTAAAATTAAAAAAGCAACAAGGAACTCTTATTAACTTGACCTTGAGCAAGGCACTTGTTTCGCAGCTTGCAGTGGGTATAGTGTGGACATTCCAGTAGTGCAGCATAAACTATGTTCACACATGCCTTTTTGTGATCTTAACTTGTTTGTGAGAACGTAAAGGAGTTAAACCACCAAGATGCAGCTGAAATGAAACAGATGTGGACACTCAAATAAAATGCATGCTCAACATGCACGAGGAGACGCGAAACCCATGAAAAGTAATAATGATAATAATAGTAATAATAAATCAATCTCCAGCCCATTCACTCAGCCACTGCTGGCACTGTCTCCTCTGCTCCTCACTCTCCTCCTCGGTGCTCTGCTCCTTGCTTCGTTTTCTCCTCTCATCCTCCTCTTCTTTTCTCGCTCTCTCTTGCTCTTCCTTTTTAATCTTCCTGTCCTCCTCCTCCCTGCGGTGTATCAGGGCCTCCACAGTGGCATCTAGTGTCCTTAATGAGCACTGCGGGAGCCACTTGGGATCAACCGCTGGGACAAAAGGGTCTCCGGCAGTGACGCGCAGTGGCTGAGGTTCGAGGGGAATGTGGAGGAGGTGTGCGTGCAGCATCATGCGGTACGGGGAGTTGTCTGTTCCCGAGCTGTAGGTGAAGTCCCCGACAATAGGGTGGCCTAAAGCGCTGCAGTGGACCCTTAACTGGTGGGTTCGACCTGAGAAGAAAAGGAAAATTGAGCGGCAGCGGGAGGGTGACTTTTTAGGAAGTGTTTGCCTCTTTCTAAATGAATGTTACAGTTAAAACAAACAAACAAACACAAAAACCCAGGCCTGGCACTGCCATCTTTACATGGAAGCTAAGCTTTCCTCTGCAAGAAGAAAATCTTCATTTCTCCTTTGAAACAAATGCAATTACCAGTGAGAGGCTGCAGCAGCACCTTGGTAACAGGGTCTCCGTCATATAACCCATATTCTAACACTAAGAGCTCAGTCTGGCAAGGCTTGGGGTTCTCACAACCTGACCACAGAAGGAAAGAACAGAATATAATTCAAACAACTGCTGGAAATTAATGATTTACTTTCAACACGATGTCCAGATGGAATAAATGTCAGAGTCTCTACTCATTGTTGTTCACACTCACAAGACTCAAACCAAGCCAAGTTTAAGTACCTTCTGTTCCCTCAACACACATCATATGTGTTTTTCCCTCCGTGGAGTTCTTGCCGATGGAGAAGTCCACAGTGTGTGTCTCTCCTTCGACCGCCCCACGTATCTGGAAAGTAAAAAGTGTATTTTCACTGACACGTGTCTCAGAGCACCCGCACATCCATCATCTGGTTATTGTTCTTTTCTGCAATCCTTGTTAACCTGCTCTCCTTCCTCTCTCATTCATCCCTCGTGCTGATTGGTCAAAGAACAGAAGGTCAGCTCTCTTTCTCTCTCTCTGCCTGCTCTACCTTAACTCGGCAGTACTCGTCAGGTCCTATTAATCATTAATTGAGCTGGAAATTTTGGTTCTATTAGTTAGCTTACTCATAATAGTTTAGGGAAGTAGCCTGAATCTGATGACCCACACTGTGGCCGGTTCAAGGCCTTCTTCCTCTTTTGTTTTCTTTTGCGAAGTCTGACATCTACCTTAAAATAAAACTGAAATTTTAGTGATTCATCAGGCAGTTACAGTTTCCACTAGAGCAGGGCGATATGACCAAAAATATTTATCACGATATACTTTTGAAAATTTGCGATAACGATATAACTGACGATATAATTGACACTAGACAAATTACTTTACAACTCCACAACTTTATTAGTGCAAAAAAAAAAACCCATCAACGTATTTTCACTTAAACAAGCAGCTGGTTTTTATGTGCATTAAAGTTATATAAAAATTTTACCGTGCAAATGCAAATTCCTTGCTGACAGTTTAACCAAAAGGCATTTCCAGTGGAAATTGGCCGACACATCCTCAGCATAACCATGTATAATATCCACAAAACTTAAAAAGAGGTTATTTTCCACATAAACCTTTCACAATAAAGCTCAAGATCCTGTTGAGACTTTTCAAAATAAACTGAATCAAGTGAAACAGTATGCCGAGTATTTACGGGTGAGAATTAAAAAAGAGCCGTCAGGTGCTAAAAAATAGACCTTAGACTCAAACGTTAGAACAGGCTTTTCCCTGCAGTACACTGTTTAATAAATACTCACAAAGAAAACGGCTGCCGTTACAACTTATGTCTAAATGTATCGTTTCACGCCCAGCTGGAAACACTTCACGCAAGTCGAGCTGCACGAGATTCACAGAATTTACAGAAAATGTTAAATTTTTGTGATTTATATCGTTATGGGACGATAGATGTCTTATATCGGGATATGAGATTTTGGTCATATCGCACAGCCCTACTATTATGTTGAAGCACAGTACGTATCACTCCGCGAGGCTCCTGCCTACGATAGCCGTCATGCTCTGACGGTGCGGGTTTGTAGCTTAGCAAAGTCATACTAAAACATTTGACAGATTTTTGAGCGCCGTGTACATAAAATCATTTCGAGGTCAGTAAACACAACCAGAATTCATACATAAGGCACACGGGATTATAAGGTACACTGTCGATTTTCAGAAAAATCAAAGGATTGATTTTAAGTGTGCCGTATTTTCCAAAAAAACACGGTAATAACGACGGCCCGCTAGCACGCTCTACCAAAAATAGTGCTTTGTTGTGTATCTGACGGACGAAAGGTAAACCAGTTCCACACCACTGAAGTTGCAGCAATTTTACAAACCAGTTCTGGTTCATCCATTTAATTCAACGATCGGCTTTCACCCTTCTCATTCTCCGTCGCCGCCATGCTTTTTCCGCCATGTGCGTATGAAAACAAAGGCACTGCGCATGCACATTTTACCCATATTCTATCGCGATATTTCATTTTCCTATCATTGCCCGACATTATACCGGTGTTACAGTGAACGGTATGATATGGCCCAGCCCTAGTTTCCACTATCACTTCAGATAATGATCGCTGGCATCATTTCTTAAGCCTCAGAAAAAAAAAACTTAATTGTTCTGTTTGAGTCCTCTCTTAAATTAGACGCACAGATCAGAGCAGCTGTTAAGCCATTTCTTTCTAATTCTGAACTAGAAAAAGTCATTCATGTTTTTATTACATCCATATTGGATTACTGCAAAACACTTATAACACAACTGCAGCTCTTTCAAAATGCAACTGCTAGACCCCTGACAGGCACACAGAAGCGTGATCATCTTCTTAAATCGTTGCACTGGCTTCCTGTGAAGTACAGGATCAATTTTAAAATATTCTTCCTCACATATAAGTGCTTACATGAGCTCGTTATAATTTATCCAGCAGATCTTGTACATTTCTATGTCCCATGCGCCATCTGACTTACTGTATCCTTATCTCTTTTACTCTTATTATATTATTTCCTGTTATCATTTTTTTTTTTACTCTATTTTTATTTATCAAATTCTGAAAGATAAAAAATATTTTATCTTTGTCAGTAATTATGCTATGGATTAAGGGACTCTAACAGCAAGAAAACAACAACAGCCAAACAAACAAAAAAACGCTTAAAAACTCATTAAATTCATTAAAGTGTCAGAACACAATTGCATGTGTTTCACTGTATTTGCAGCCCATACCAGAGCGAGGTAGAATTTGGTCACGGTGCGGTCCTTGAAGCAGCGGTAAGCCCGGCCAGCGGCAGCTTTATTCAGGGCAACACAAAGAGCTCCACTTGTGGAGAAATCCAACTGATGACAGAACCTTGTGAGAGACGAGGAAAACAATAAGACTACTCCTGCTACCAAGAACATCTGACAAGTGCAGAGGAAGTAAAGGGATTCTGACCGAAATCCATAGTAGGTGCGTGGGTCAGCCAGCTGAGGGAAGCGGTGGCGAAGCTGTGCCTGTACGGTGTTCGTCTCGTACCACATCTTGCTGTCGATGCGGATGTCCCAGTGTTTGTCCACCACGATGTAGTCATCACTGTGATACAGTACACGCAGGCTCTCCAGGCTAGCGGGCTCCGTGCTCATCGTGTGCAGTGATTAACTGGCACAAGCGCTGCAGGCCTGCAGGGACAAAGTCGCTGTCGTGACACATGTCACTGAGGGTTTATTTGAAGTACAGTACTAAAGACTTTCCTCTCACCAGTATAAAAAAACCTCATAGCTGCCACTTATATTAATTCAACAGTCAATAAATTATAGAGCATAAAACTTGATTAGTATAAACTAGCAGGCAGTGGAATGAAACCTTGCATGTTTGGGTCTTGCACAAGTGTTTCTCACAACTTTCTTTGATTTCTGCTTTAATCTCATTTAACTCGGAATAAATGGATTTTAAGTTTTTTGTTGTTACATTATGCATACTTGTGCTTGCAGGTGCAAAGCATAAGTACCAGCATAGATATGCAACATAGCTGTGCTCGTGCAGCACTTTTCTAGGCTTACTGATCACTCAAAGGTCTTCTAACATCTTAAGTACACATTCATACAGCACATTATCTTGACATGCATGTTTCTGGACTGTGGAAGGAAGCTTGAGGACCTGATGGAAACTCAGTCCAGGTACCTCTAGAGCTGGTCAAGCATACAAACTCCATGCAGAACAGCCCTGCAGGAGTTAAACCAGAAACCTTGCTCTGATGCAACAGTGCTCATCAACCTACTACCATGCTCGTGTCTGTGTCAAGGTACAATCTCTCAAGGCACCCTATGTTTGAACTCCTTATGTGCAAAATTATGGTGTTTTACTATTACACTGTTTGAAGAGTCCTCCACGATCCTTTAAAAACCAGCAGGTGCCTGTCTCTCTGGGAAACTGGGCAGATGTGACAGTTCTCATGACTGAATCAAGCGTCTGCCTTCACCTCTGTCAGCGCTCTCCCATAAGAAATACACACAGACCTGACATGTACGGTTTTCCAGGTTTAGATCTGAAATTCATCTGAAAAGAAACAGCTCAATTTTGACCCTGAATAGACTTGGTGTACAACAATATTTTTGGGATTTAACTTTCATTTTGCGTATTTTGTGTAACTTTCGGAAAATGCGTCGAATTTCAGGGTAAAACAATAACATTCATGTTTAATTATTTATTATTACTGCTGTCAAATTTTTAAAAAAAAAAGATCAGATTTGACCCAGAATGGAGGAGTTAAAAGGTCGAAAGGTCCTGAACGTTTATGTAGTTTCAAAAAAGCCTCCAGAGCCTCAACCGCAGTGCGCCAAACCATCTTTACGGCTGTGAGGAGAACAGACCGGTGGCCGTAGCCTGTCTTATATTCGAGGACGTTTCCTTGGCCGTGAGAGCATCCCATCCACCTGCGCGTGTGGCAGTAAATCATGCGCCCACTAGTTTGCTAACTAGTGGTTTGCTATTAGCATAAGACAACTAACCTGTGTTGTATGATAAAATATGTTTTCTGAATAAGAAAGCCCGGTTATAGGGCTTTCTTATCATAGTTAATATAACCGGAAAACTTACCGTTAATAAGGACCCAAAAAGTGATAAATGTTTTCAACAGATGTAAACATAGCCGCTTGTGACGCACTGCACTGCGCATGCGCTTCATCTTCTTCGTGCGTGTTTTGGGTCGTCAGACTAGCTTAAAAGGTGCACAGCGCCACCACCCGTGTATGACGGTGTTTATTTCACCATACATGAACGATTTACGTTTGCAAACATTTTATGATTCACCTCGTTGCTGGTTTACTTTGTTCAAGGATTAAAAGTCTCCAGTATTGTGCAATAGTCTTGAACCGCCCCTTATTTCTTCATATTTTGCTTGGAAAATTTGAAATAGGAGACCTTTTAAAACATACAGAGAAATACAGTATACGAGATATGTATCAGTTTATACAATTGTAACAAGCGTGAAACTCCATATTTGATAATACCACCTTTATTGTTCAACACAGTTTTAACTGTCTTAGGCAGGGTTCTTGTAATTTCTTTAAGCAGTCTTCAGGAATAGTTCTCCAGGCTTCTTGAAGGACATTCAAAGCTCTTCTTTGGATGTTTTTGCCTTTTGTTCTGTTCTCTATCAAGATGATCACACAATCCTTCAATAATGTTGAAGTCCGGGCTCTGGGGAGGAAAATCCATGACTGATAGTGTTCGACTGTGTGTTTTTTCTATCCAGGTATGCCTTTACCGCACAGTATGTGTGTTTGCGATCATTGTCATGCTGAAAGATGAAGCTGTTGCCAATCAGATGCTTTCCAGATGGATGCGTGGTGGATCAATATCTGACCATACGTTTCTGTGTTCATAATTTCAACAAGATCCTGTAGATACTGCCTGTTGTTACTCTCTCCTGACCTACATATTGAACCAAAGATTTCCAGTTTGGATTCATCACTCCTTCAGACCTGCTTTCTTTCAGTCCAGTCCAGTGTGCTGGGTTTTTACCTCAGACTTTTTCCCCTGTTTCGCTTCTTTAAAAATGGCTTCTTTATAGCCACCCTTCTAATAGAGACCATTTATGGTGAGGCTTCAGTGAACAGTAGATGGCTCAAGTGAACAGACAGATTTCTCAGGTCACGAATCAGGTCTGAATGTCTTTCTATTTCCTAAGAACATGACTTTCAAATACAGTTCAGCTGGCGCAGATATTTTTTAGAAGCCCGCTGTTGCTTTTCTCATCCGTCACTTGTCCACTTTCCTCAAATTTATCAAGGATCCACTGCACATATGGCCAGGATATGTCAAGTTTTCAGCTAACAGCTCTTTGTGAATCAGCTTTTTGGGGCAAAAATAATATTTTATTCCTGTCAAATTGTGTTATCATTGGTATTTTTCCAAGAATCAAATACAGAGGTGGGAACAAATTATGTGCTGCGCACAAACATTTTTCTTGTAAAACAAAGGGGGCCCTAGCAAAAAAAGTTTTGGAACCACTGCCTTAATAAATGATAAGAAAGTCTGGAAGTAAAATAAATTATAAAGAAATCAGGAATAGCTCAAGACGTCTGCACAAAGAGTAGAGAGAATGAATGGGAAATACTTGTCCTTCATCAGAGGATTTGCTGTACCTGTGCATGTGCAATGACAATAAAGTTGAATTCTATTCTATTCTATTCTATTTATAGGCACGCTATTGGTTCACCTGTGATTTTATTACCAAGCCAAGCGAAGAGAGTGAGGAAGAAGCTTCCTGATGTTTGGTTTTTAGCCCTATGACAACTGTATTGAAAACTTTGAACAGTTACAAATCAAATCAAATCGGTTCTAAAGGACAAGCTGGTGAACTCTGGAGTGGACCATCACCTCACTACCTGGATCCTGGACTACCTCACCGACCGACCACAGTATGTGAGGACTCAGGGCTGTGTGTCGGACAGGGTCGTCTGCAGTACGGGGGCCCCACAGGGAACGGTTCTGGCTCCGTTCCTCTTCACCATCTACACTCCAGACTTCTCCCACAATTCCACCCAGTGCTTTCTGCAGAAGTTCTCTGATGACTCTGCAATAGTCGGCCTCATCACTGATGGGGACGACAAGGAGTACAGAGGACTGACTCAAGACTTTGTGGACTGGTGCCAGCTGAACTACCTCCAGATCAACACAGTAAAACCAAGGACTGGTGGTAGACTTCCGCAGGCACAAGCATTCTCCACTGCAACCACTGAACATCCAAGGTATGGACATTGAGGCTGTGGACAGCTACAGGTACCTTGGTGTTCATCTGAACAATAGACTGGACTGGACTCATAACTCAGACGCCCTCTATAGGAAAGGGCAGAGCAGGCTGTACCTGCTGCGGAGACTCAGGTTGTTTGGAGTGGAGGGCCCACTCCTGAAGACCTTCTATGACTCTGTTGTGGCTTCTGCTATCTTTTATGGCGTGGTCTGCTGGGGCGGCAGCATCTCTGCTGGGGACAGGAAGAGACTGAACAGGGTGATCCGAAGGGCCAGCTCTGTTCTAGGATGCCCTCTGGACCCAGTGGAGGTGGTGAGTGACAGGAGAACGGCGGCTAAGCTGTCATCCCTGTTGGACAACATCTCCCACCCCATGCAGCAGACTGTGACAGCACTGAGCAGCTCCTTCAGTGGGAGACTGCGGCACCCACGGTGTGGGACAGAGAGATTTCGCAGGTCTTTCCTCCCCACTGCTGTCAGACTCCATAATAAAGACTTTAACTGATCAAGCACACACATCCATACATATGCAATAATACTAAGTGCAATAATCCTTTCTGTCATCGTTGTATTTTTACTCAGTTGTATATAGTATTTGTATTTGTATTCTATTTTTATCTTATTGTATATTTATTTTATTTTATTCTACTGTATATAGTATTTTATTTTATTCTATTCTGTACAGTTGTGTACTGTATTTATTCTTATTGTATTCTAATTTTTGCCTCATAACTTTTGCACTGTCCACTTCCTGCTGTGACAAAACAAATTTCCCACGTGTGGGACTAATAAAGGTTATCTTATCTTATCTTATCAAACAGCTTGTCATCTGGACTGGAGTGAGCGGATTATGTTTATTGCATTTGTCTCATTTTATTATTTATTTATTGCCCTGTGGTACCGTTTCAGGTCAGTCCACAGTTACTGTGATGTTCATAATCCCTCACCTTCACCTCGGGACTTTAATCTGATGGGTCCATGTGACAATCCAGTATTGTGAGCAGCTGAGGTAATGAAATGCCACGTTTTGTTTATGCGCTTTGTTCAAGTCTGCCCCAGCACATCCAGGGGCATTGGAGGGCACCTGAGCAAGGACGTGCGAGAGGACGAAGACAAAGGGCTCAGATTCAGAGATGGGGTGAAGAAAACGTTTCTCCATCTTGTCACGCTTTGACCTCCTCACGGGTCCAAAGCTAATATAGTAAGTGAAGACTCTTTGGAACATTACGTGCTGAAACACATTGGTTGAATAAAGCACAGGCTCTTCCAGAGAGTAATCCCTGAACGCAGACAGGTAATAATGTGTGTTGAGCTAAGAGGATGAAGACTTATTATATAATTGGTGTGTGCGTTGAGTCAAATGCTGGAGAATTGGATACAGTCGTGCTGCTGTGATGCTGTTTTTCTGGTTATTGTTTCGTAACATGTCATAGCAGATCATGCACTCCGATAAGAAGGCACACATGCTTACACACAGATGCACGTGGCACTAACACAAAGGCTTCAGTCAGAGAGAGGATGAGCTGGCAGATACTGTGCAGGAGGCAAGCATCAATACTGATATTGTAAGAGGAAGTTTTTCAGCATCCTTACTGTGGATTGTGTGAAAAAAGATATCTAAAGATTCCTTGTTGCTCTGGATTTGCTTAATTTCTAACCAGCTTTCTCTATCTTGGATGTATTTTTTCTTTTTAGAACTGTTTTGATCTTTTCTGCACCACTTTGAGTTTGGTGCAAAAGTCTTTGCCGGCCATAATACGAACATTTTTACAGGTCTTTTCTCAAACTGATTTTTTTTTTTTTTTGCCCAGAGACGTGACAAGGCAGGCTGTCTAGATACCGTTTATTTTATATCATTTGGATAAAGCGTGAAGGACACAGCTTATATAAGCGGTATTCATTTTTTTCCAACTCTGAGAGGTGTAATTTTTCTGACCTTGCATTTATTTCTGTAGGATTACTTTCTGAGACTGCCGTGAGTATTTTAAGCCGCCTCTCCACCATGCATAATAAGTCATTTTTGCAGGCTCGCTGTGATGAGCCTATAATTACGTCGGACTGGGGTCTCCTTTTGCTGCTGGCTCTGCTGCTGCTGGCGCTGGTCTACTCCTTCCTCTACCTGCCTGCCTCCGCCCAGCGAGCCCTGCTAGAGCAGGCCCTCAGCAGCAACAACACCACCACCGCCGTGACTGACTGATTCAGGGATGAACCGTGACAGAAGCTTCATGAATGGATAAGCAGACAAGCGAGGCCATCTTACATATGTAAATAGTGTGGACTGTACTGCTTGTCATTTTGCCCAACAAAAATCAAGAAGCTGTAAAGTGTCAGTTTTTTTCTCTTTAAACTTTGCCATGTGTTTTCAAGACCAATTGATAATAAAATGATATGCAAATCAATGCAATGCGCTAAATCTGAACAAAAAAGGCTGTTTTGTTCTAATTTCCCAACCCTGTTACAGTCCTGTGAAAATGAGTTTCACACCCTTAATGTTTTTGTAGAAATTAAGGAGTAAGTAGGAGCCAGGTGCTGCTAATAACATGCACTTGATTCACAGATCATCAGGAAGTGTGAGAAACTCTGAACGGAGAAGCTTTGGCAGTTTGCTGGTCTGGACCATTGACAATTCCACAATCTTCCAAAGAGTGTCCCAGCAAATTCCTCCCAAGGTTAGACTGTGAAATGTTCGAGGAACCTGCAAAAAATCCAACAGCTATATCTCTGCCGGCCACAGTTAGCATATAAAAGTTCATGACAGTATAATTAGATAAAGAATGAACAAATGTGGCGTGTTTGGAAGTGTTGCCAGGAGAAAGCTCCAATAAAATCAACATTTTAGCTTGACTTATGTTTGCAAAGTTACATCTGAACAAACCACAATACTTCTGGAACAATGTCCTTTAGGCAAACGACACTAAAGTGAAGATGTTTGGCCATAAAGAACAGCACCATGTTTGGAAAAAATCAACACGATCGCGTGAAAATACATGAGCGTGTCACGAGAACAACTTAGTTACCTGCTATTCAATTTCTGCAAAGCAGACTTGGGTTTAAGACAAACAAAAAGCTCGGTTTGAATTACCTTTATTAAAAGATACAGGATACTAGATTTGACACCAATATTTAAAGATGCAGCACTTGATTGTTACAGGCTGAGGCATCAGATCCAGAAAACTTTTTTTTTCCTTTCTGCTATCTGTGCCTTACAAATGGTTCCCGTAAATACTGTATCCGCAGTATACGACCACTACTGACATCTGGATATCGCATCGCTAATATTTTTTTTTCTTTTAATCACATTAAATCCTTAAAAAAAGAAAGAGAGATTCTTGCTAAACCATGCAACACCCAACAAGCCAACATTTACAGTTAGTCTTAGACCACGATGATTCACTCAAATGGTACTTCAGAGTTCAATATGTTCAGCTACAATGAAAATATCATATCCAAAGACTTGACACAATAATGATAGTACATATTTTTTAAGGGACACCAGTTTATCCCTTGATTTACTGCTCTCACATTCAAGCTCGAAAGCTGAATATTATTCACATCTTACGTCCTTGGTATAAGAGAGAGGTTTAGAAAGGTTTAATTTAGTTCATAAGCGTATCAAATCCTTAAGGACTTACATGCATCTCTTTCTACAATATACACAGTTCAGTTCCAGTCGTTCATTGGTCTGCTCCTTCAAATAAAACATGCCACAAAGTCTCGCGAGAACTGGCGCTTCGATAGCAAACACAAAAGTTAAAACAGCATGTGTATGAAAAACGAAGGCAAAAAGGTCGGGCCTTTTTAGTTGGAGTGTAATCTGGGTTTAGGAGAGATGACGCACCATTATGAGGGGAAGAGAGAATATGTGAAAAGTTATTATAATCAATAACAGAAAACAGAAAAAAAACATATGAGAAAACAGAAAACGGAGATGTTAAGAAAGACAGCAAATACAGTCTCAGTGAATCTAAATGATCTAAATGCACCTAATTAAAATGTATCCTATTTTGCTGCCACAGTCTCTCACTCCAAGTAATGCCCTGTGGGTTTCTAAGTGTATGATGCCAGTTCAGAGGCACAATTACGTTTGCTGTATGTTGGGAGCAGGTACGGCTGTGACACCTGTTGTTTCAGTATCTTTAAAATCACGAAATTTTGGACCTACAGTTCCTAAACTTTGATACAAAGTACCCACATTTGTTCACGACAAATAGCGCCAATTTACATTTGTGCAAGATTATTACAGATGTTTAAGGGTGATGCTAAATATGTGCTGTTCTTACTTTCTTTTCTCCTACTCCCAACTGGTCCTGGTGGATGGCTGCATTAACAGGAATGCAGCCATCCTCCTTCCTCCCCACCATAGCCAACTGTTCAAAGATCTATATTTGTGAGTGTTTGATGTTATATTTTACTGAGCTATCATTGGGAACATTTTTCAGCTAAATGAGAAAAAACTGAGCACATTGTCTGTCACACGTGCTAATTCTGCTCCGGTCTCTACAGGTTAATCTGCCATAAGCTAACCTTTAAAGGTATTTAATTATTAATTTAATAATGATTTGAAACTGAATTGTTCCTTTTTTAACTTTGTTGGCTGCATTTAAAAAACATTTGCAGGTACACCACAGGCGATCCTTCTTTCAGTTCCCCAGGCTTTTTCTTTAAAATGATTAAAAACCAACAGTGTTCTTTTTTTTAAAGATGTAATAGATTGGCAATGCTATTTTCTAACCCACCCTATCCCTGGTAGCAATTACAAATAACATTAGACTTATAAATAGTATTTATCTGTTAAAACCTCTAATTTTATCTCTAATTGTATGTGCACTAAAAATTGTGTTGGTCCCAAAAAATTAAAAAATTGAAAATTGAAACTTGAAAGAAAGAAAGAAAGAAAGAAAGAAAGAAAGAAAGAAAGAAAGAAAGAAAGAAAGAAAGAAAGAAAGAAAGTTACTACCTAAAAATCTCTTATCCTTAAAGCTTACAATGTTAAACACCGAACACCGAAATTTCTCATCCGTGGGATAATAAAGGTTTATTCCATTCTATTAAATCAGGGGTGGACAGGGTAAACAATGATCTTGTCCCTCACTGGTATATAACACTGTTATAACCCGCATGTTATAAGCACACCTATTCTCTCCCACCCAGTGACACCCAGACATCAGCCGCTGTATTACTTAGAAACAGATGAAAACTCTAAACTGGTTCTGAGTTGTTTATATTTCTGTAGTTGCTTCTCAACCATTTGCAGCAGAAATGTGAGATACAATCTTGAAGTGTAAGTCTCCCTAATTTTAAGGAGGAAAGTGTACCACAGGTGCACTTTGTGACTTTGAGGTTTTTTCAGCTAATCTGGTGCTTAATTGCCTCGATGAGCTGTCCCTGCTGCCGAGTTCACTCTGTGAATGGACCAAACAACCTTTCCTGTCACCGGCATGTGCCTGCCCCTCTCATCTTCTTTTGTCTGTATCTCTGCTTTTTAAACCTGAAATGCTCTGATGTGTGAATCCGAAATCTCTCCTGCTGGTTCTGCGGGAGGTTTCTTCCTGTTAAAAGTGAGTTTCTTCTTCCCCACTGTGGCCAAGTGCTTGCTCATAGGGGTTGTTTAATTGGTGTGATTTTCTTTCTAATATTGTAGTGTCTTTACCTTACACTATAAAGCACTTAGAGGCGACTGTTGTTGTGATGTTGCTATAAAAGAAAACCTGTTCTAATGTTTGCTGCAAGCTGTTCAGGACATCTTGTCCCAGTTAACTCTATAATGATAAAATAAAAAAGAATAAATCCACCTTACTTACTGGACACAACAGCAGTCTCTGGAGTTTGTTTCCCTTCAGCTATAAAAATGATTTTGCCATGTTTATATTTTATTGGATTTGTGCCTTGAACGGATTAAACACCCTTTCATTACTTGCCTACACACGCCATGGGGAAGGAACTGAAAGCAAGCGGAAAGGGAGATTTCAGCATGTGGTTAACTCTGAACAATAGCAGAGAAAGAGGGCATTCTCTTTTCTAAAAGTCTCAGTCACTCGTGGTTTTCTGGAGGCCTGCGTGTAGTGCACTAAACAGAAAAGGAGGGAAAAGGTGGAAGAGGAGAGTTAGAAAACTTCTTGTTTTGGCCACTGCAAGGTAGCTCTCATGAAATGTGGCGGAAGATGACAGAGACAAGAGGGGATGAAGAATAGACGTGAAAGAAGGAAAGAGAGCAGAATTATTACTCTCTCTCTAACACACACACACAGACTCTCTCTCTCTCTCTCTCTCTCTCTCTCTCTCTCTCACACACACACACACACACACACACACACACTCTCTCTCTCTCTCTCTCTCTCTCTCTCTCTCACACACACACACACACTCCCAATCGATTAATTCCAGTCCTTGCTGATATTGAGGTTCCACTCCCAGGATAAGTAGACGTTCTTGTCATCATCAGTGAAGCAGGACTTGATCTGATACTGGCCACGGGACATCACGCCTTTAGTTGCCTCATCGATCGGGCAAAGAAACTCCTGCTCCCCTGCGCGTGGGCCGTAACTTCCTACCATGTACACCGCCTTGTTCACTGTGAAGAGACGCAAACAGAGCATGTAGCTCTCTAACAACCTTTTCTCTGATTCTAACAATCTATCTGTGCATTCAGTGCAAACATTTCAAAGGTGCCATTTTCACCCTTCTGTACTTTTATTTTTGTACAATATGTATGTGACATACAATATTTTGTTCATAAAAAATAGAAACACAAGTCCATTTCACTGACTGATGTTCAGTGTCTTTGTTGATGGATGTTTAGTTGCATTCAAACACAATATATGGACAATATGCAGAAGCTGCTCAGCCATGAAGCTCCCTGCACAAAGTTTTTGTGCTGATGTTAATGCCCGGGGAGGTTTGGATCTCTGCAGTCGCTGAGTCATCAGCGTGTTGGTTACCCCCATCGTTAACTCTACATAGTCTGACACTTTGTGGCTGAGTTGCTATGGTTACTTAATGGTTCCACTTTGCAATAATACCACTTTAGATGATCGTCACATATTTAGGAGGGATAGAATTTAATGAACTGACTTGGTGCACCATGCTTGAATTAAGTGAGCCCTTTAGAATTACCCATTTTTCAGAAATGTTTGTAAAGGCAGACTGCATGGCTAGATGCTTGATTTTACACACCTGTGGCAATAGGATCCACCTCTTAACTTGGATTCAAAGGTTAAGACGTGTGTTCCAGCACTTTTTTTCATGACTGAACTTACTTCTCACTCCTTTTCTGTAGGTCACTTGACGGTACTTCAGGCCAGAAACGATTTCTCTGTTCACCTGCAGACACACATCGTTTCAAACATGTTCATTAATTTGTGATTTCCTCTTTCCAGGCTGCCCCCACCCCCAAAAAAGAAATCAGTTCACACTGACTCAGTGAGCAAAAGGTAAGTGAGTGTCTAATTCACATAATGCATAATGCAGCATAAACCGATGTAAAAAAGAAATCTCCACACAACCTTAAGGATATCTTTGCTACATTAATGGAAACACATTTTTATGTACAAAAGGAAAATGAAGTAATTAAAGAAAAAATACCAGACACGTAAACAAAATGTACATATCTGAGATTTGTAATCTTATGTGGACTAATTTAGTCCAGATCTTCTAACATGGGACACAAACAGAGATACTACAATTGCTCATCACTCACTATGCAAAGTGCCTTAAAACACAATTACCTTTTATTCAGATGAGACCACAGCTGGAAAAAACAGCTTCGTGTAATATGTAGCAGCATCCTTCCTCAGTCAATACATTCATCATTACAGTGCTTCTGCTACTGGATATTTACTGCTATCCAGCATCCTTTTGGCAAATTAAATAATTTTTTTCATAAGTAGCCCATAAGTAGTTTTTTTTAAGCAGATTTGTGTTGATTAGCTTGTATTTTATCCATTTCACAAAATGGGTTATAAGTTTCACTTTATTCGTTACATTTTAATGAGGTGAGAAAAAAATACTAGTCTCAAGGAAAAAAGAGAGAAATTCTGGGATTGTCATTATTTCTACACATACCCTTACACACACATAAGGTCTGTGGGACCTTAAACATTCAATCAATGAAGTAAACCATCGTTAAATGTAACAGCAAACTGCAGTGATAATCTTTGCCCAGCAGGTGTCCTCGCAGCACAGCTGAGCTGCTCATTCCCTGAGCTGTTTGGCTATTCTACCCACCTCTACCTTTTCCTTCAGGGCAAGGTCTCTTGGGTCCTTCCTCAAGCCCAGTACTTCCACACATTCACACTTAGACATACACTGACCTATTTTCTAGGCTTACTTACTCTTTGCTTTTCAATAAAGATCCAGGTGATAGGGTGACTCGCTCCTGGTGATTCATTCAAATTACTTCTGTATCATAACAGCAATGTTTAGCTTTCATCTCCAGGTCAATAGTATTCCCCGCACTCTCAGACAATGAGACCTATGCAGGGTTATAGATGAGCTGGCTCCTGGTTGTCTTACAATCAGCTCCACCGAATTTTAAAAATGCGATAAACTACTATCCCTACTGACTCAAGGGAAGTTCAGCTAAACTACAATTGAGTTCTGACCTTTTCTTATTTCTGTGGCAAATAATTAATGAAGTTACCCTCTGGGGAATTCACTTGGTTTCAAAAACATTTTCATCACCTCAGGTGTTTATTGTGAATGTGACAGCTAAACGTTGAGGGGTTTATTTGTAACAGAGAAAAGAAGGAAGAGATTAGAGGTGTGAGGAAGTGTGGATGGCAGAGCATGAAGTGAAAAAGAAGAGAACAGGGAAGTGAGGCAAGAGAAAGGCAGGAAAGGATGATGATGCTGGGAAGAGGAGAGGAGAGTGTGGAGGCTGGGCGGGGTAGCATTTGAATGATTAAAGGAACATTATTAAAAGAGACAGAGGAAAGGAATTGAATTAAATCACTGCTATCATCAGGCTTATTAATATAACAAATAAACTAGGAGGAATTTGGTTTGTTACTGGTGTCATGATGAGCAAACATAACTAACTAGATATTTACTTTTTTCTTTACATTTACATATACACTGAACAAAAATATAAACGCAACACTTTTGTTTTTGCTCCCATTCCCCATGGGATGGACGTAGAGACCTAAAATTCATTCCAGATACACAATATAACCATCCCTCCCAAACAGTGGTCACAAATCAGTCCAAATGTGTGGTAGTGGGCACATCTGCTATATTGAGATAATCCATCCCACCTCACAGGTGTGCCACATCAGGATGCTGATCTGACATCATGAGTAGTGCACAGGTGTACCTCAGACTGCCCACAACAAAAGGCCACCCTGGAATGTGCAGTTTTTTGCGCTATTGGGGGTCTGGGGACCCAGAACCGGTCAGTATCTGGTGTGACCACCATTTGCCTCATGCAGTGCAACACATCGTCGCATGGAGTCTATCAGATTGTCAATTGTGGCCTGTGGAATGTTGGTCCACTCCACTTCAATGGCTGTGCGAGGTTGTTGGATATTCGTGGGAACTGGTACACGCTGTCGTATACGCCGGTCAAGCACATCCCGAACATGCTCAATGGGTGACATGTCCGGTGAGTATGCTGGCCATGCAAGAACTGGGACATTCTCAGCTGCCATCTGCCCTGAACAATGTGAACCACGATTCATCCGTGAAGCGCACACCTCTCCAACGTGCCAGACGCCATCGAATGTGAGCATTTGCCCACACAAGTCTGTTACGGCGACGAGCTGGAGTCAGGTCAAGACCCCGATGAGGACGACGGGCATGCAGTTGAGCGTCCCTGAGACGGTTTCTGACAGTTTGTGCAGAAATTATTTGGTTGTGCAAACCAATTGTTCCAGCAGCTGTCTGGGTGGCTGGTCTCAGACGATCTTGGAGGTGAACCTGCTGGATGTGGAGGTCCTGGGCTGGTGTGGTTACACGAGGTCTGCGGTTGTGAGGCCGGTTGGATGTGCTGCCATATTCTTTGAAACGCCTGTGGAGACGGCTTATGGTTGAGAAATGAACATTCAATGCACGGGCGACAGATCTGGTTGACATTCCTGGTGTCAGCATGCCAATTGCACGCTCCCTCATTGCTTGTGGCATCTGTGGCATTTTGCTGTGAGACAAAACTGCACATTCCAGGGTGGCCTTTTGTTGTGGGCAGTCTGAGGTACACCTGTGCACTACTCATGATGTCAGATCAGCATCCTGATGTGGCACACCTGTGAGGTGGGATGGATTATCTCAATATAGCAGATGTGCCCACTACCACACATTTGGACTGATTTGTGACCACTGTTTGGGAGGGATGGTTATATTGTGTATCTGGAATGAATTTTAGGTCTCTACGTCCATCCCATGGGGAATGGGAGCAAAAACAAAAGTGTTGCGTTTATATTTTTGTTCAGTGTAGAAAAAAAGTTCTGCATGCACTTGGCAATACGGAAACACATTCAAATAAAAATTTAATGTTCATTTGCAGCATTTATAGCAACGTTATCCTTTCAGGGGAATTTACAACATCAACACAATCATTAAAGTCACTTTCACACATACACCACAACTCCGAACTTAGCCTGCCGGCTATCTAGCACAAAACCTGTGTGAAGGCGCCAGTGGGAGAATATTTTGGTTATGTGTGCTGCCTCCACTAAACCACACAGAGGACTTCCAGTAGTACAAAAGCTACTGAAGTGGACAATTTCCCACAGTGTGAGAAGTGACAGCTGTGGAAAATTACCCTACCTGTTTCTGTCTCCTTATAATTTTACAGTACGAGATGTAGTCAGTTGTGCACGATATCCTTTGAACACAGTGTTCTCACTGTATCCTGTACTGTGGCTGACAGATACCTTGTCCCTTTGCAAAGACAAATTATAAATCAAAAAGACTTACAATATGTATTGATAGTCTTTGTGCATTAGAGTAAAACTGAGGAGAGGTCACTATGAGACTGATGCATGTCTTCAAATGTGGTTTATATGATGGAAACATATGAAAATGGAGCTGTTAGTGTCATATATGTCTGGGTAAACCATAATGGGCTTCCACAAAGAGGAACATTCAGCTAATGCAGTTAGAAGAGAAAATAGTTCAAGAGAGATAAAAGCCCAGAAAAAAAACATGAAACTGGAAGAGTTTGTTGAAGTGGAAAATCCCCCGAAAGCATTAAATGTGTAGCACAGTGCAGTGACAGAAAGGAAGCTAATGAAAGGGCTCCGGAGAAAAAGAAACTGACAAATCTTCCCTGAGAAATTATTGTGTGTATCCTTCCTTTGAGCCTCAGTGTGTCAGAGTGGATCACAACCTTGAGTGTGCTCCTCCAATGGCTCCACCTAAGTGACCTCTAATCCACTGCCAGCAAAGAATCAAGATGGACAGACTCTTCCAGTGAGCTGGCTGTATAAAAACGTCTTGGTGCAAACTGCCATATTCTGCAGTTCTGCCCTTGGCCTCTCAGTGTTCACGTAACAAAGACAGCTGATAACGTGAAAACTCCCACCGAGTCTTATTTCCACAGCATTAAAAGGGCTTCATCTCCAGCATGAAGCTTTACAAGCACTATAAAATTAAGCAGCACTGAAAAAGCCCATTAAAAAAAGATAATGGTCTGCTTTGATTTTGGTGGTTTGATTTTATAGCACGTGGTGGCTTACTCAGCACTGTGTCTCCCTTTCCACCTCTTAATCACTTCCAGTAGATACCATCCCATCTGTTTGTTTCCACCCCTCTCTCTCACACACACACACACACACACACACACACACACACACACACACACACACACACACACACACACAGTAACCCACACTAAGGCTCGCCATCCTTAATATATCCTGTGTGACTGTATCTTTCCAACTTACCTTGAAGTGTATCTTTAGTCTGTATTTCACTCCCTCCTGTAAGGAGAAGCTCTTCTCCTTCAGAGCGATCAGGTCTCCTGCACAATCAACAACAAAGAAACAATAAAACATCCCTAATGGACCACATGACATGTATGACATCACTCACTCCACATGTAAAATGACTAGAAGGGTCACCCTCTTATTGCTTCTTACATATCCAGAAATGTAGCTTACTGACTTACACAGCAACTGGAGAATTGCACCATAATATGACCACCATGATATAATTGTTTAAAGAGGGATGCCAGTGAATTCCCAGAATTGTCTTCTCATGTTTTCTGCTAAATCGGAATGAGTAAATTTAAAAAGAAAATGTGCTTAAAGTTATAGTGCATAACATTTTCCCCTTGAGATGTTAGTAGATTGCAGATTGTCCCTCCCAATTAAAGCACATAATCCTAGCTATGGTAGCTGATGTAGGACAAACATGTTTTTGGCAGCCAAAACCAAAAAGATGTGCCCCATCACGGACACAGCTGGTTAGAGTGCTTCGCTACTTTTTTACATGCTATATTTCAACATATTTTAATAAATCATGGAATAAAAAACACATATATAATCCATTAATGATTTTGCAATATTTAACACTATAACCCCAGAGTCACCATAAAATCTCTGAGTGTATTTAGCAAAGCTAAGTTTTGCCACTATCTGTGAAAGGCTGTCAGTCCACCGTTTACCTCAGCTATCAGTGCTAGAAGCGTCTATGTCTGTTTATTTGGGAGGATGCTGTAAAAGTTTGTGAAAGAAGTCAAAGAGTCAGCGCAGCTCACTTCTGACAAATGACAATAATATTGAGGTGAGTTGTTGAGAACTTTTCTGTCAGCAGGTGCTGCGGTTTTTGCCATAGTTAGCCAAACCAAGCTAACTTTTAGTTATAAAGCACTTTAGAATAGTACTTAACATTATACATTATACAATACAAAAACAACTCTCAGTCAAACACTGTGGCCAATCAAAACAAGTGGATTTTAAGAAGTGACTTAAAACAATTAGCCTCTGTTAGCATATGTTAGCCTCTGTTAGCATCTGTTACCTGCTGCTAGCTGGTATTACTGAAACTTTCTTGGAAGTCGATATAACTTTGTTGGACTCTGATGCTTAGTGAATAAACTATTATAGGATGTGAGAATATAATCAAGGAGAAAGTGCGATTTTAAGGACGCTCTATCCAAATATTATCAGGCATATTGTTAGCTTACTGTATAACTGGCTGGTATTGTATAACCTGTCAGTTGTAGGTTGACTGGAGGATGACTAATTTATGTACTGTGTTTTTTAAATTATGAAATAACCTGAAAAAAATTGCTGACTGTACCTTTAAAGGAACTCTGACATACTGGTTATTTATTGTTACTGGGTAAAACCAGTATGGTTTCTTTGTATAGTAAAAGTGTCTCAGTTGTGTGGTGTGGTTGAATGAGTTCATACTGCAGTGGTGGCAAAGCATCCTGGCCCATTGAAAAAGCACAGAGCAATCAGAAATGCATCCACTGCCTAATCACTTTATATGTCAATTTAAACCAAACCATCAGTCCTGAGTGCTTCCTAATGGACAAAGAGAAACAAAAGAGGAAGCAAAGGAGGAGGAGATGAAGGAGAGATAGAAGAATGGGGCAAATAAAAAAAACAGATAGCAGTGATATGATGCGAGGAAGAAGTGAGGCAGTCAGAGAATCAAAGCAAGACATCTTAAAAATCCACGTAGATGTACATTTAAATTCGCAATAAATAAATAAATATAAACGCCTAACTGTTCCTACAGTATGTGGTTATGTCTTAATTTTGACAATCTGCACATCCCCTTGTGGTTTGGGAGCTTCTTGTTGCTGCGAGATAAAGTCATCAGATAAAAACCAAACATGCCATTTACCTCGGTAGCTTCTCCATCTCTATTTCTGTCTCATTTCTTTGGACTCATCTCCCTCTCTGAACTGCAGCCTGTAACCCTCCCTCTCATATAACCTCCTTTCTACCTTCCTGTGCACCTCCTTCCTCTCCCTACTCTCGTCTCAGGAGACAGAGAGAAGAGAAAAGAAGCTGGCCACCCTTGGGAGCGTCTGACTGAGAAAATAGGTCAATGTGGAAAGCTGTCTACCTGTTCTCCCCCCCTTCTCTCTTGCAAAAAAAACACAAGCAGGTATGAACACCAGCAAGTATGCATGCAAGGATACACACACACACACACACACACACACAAGCCTAAACCTTACACTTTGCACATATTGCACCAATGGCGATCACTGCTTGTTATTTTTTATGCCACAAAATCACAAATTTGTAATTTTCTTTGTCTAGTCAGTTTTAAGTAGTCATTCTGGTTGCTGACCTAATTCAAAGGTCAATTATAGAATTATATTCTGTAGCAGGGTTAATCATATCTATATCTTTTATTTAATAATAATAATACATGGATGTTACAGCAGTGCTATATGAGCATCATACTATAGAGAAGCCTTCTACTTTTTTTATTCCACTCCATTAATCTAACAGCTACACGTGCTTGTGTCACATTCTTCAGACTAGTTATTCATTTAAAATTCATGCACACTTCATATTAAATATGATGCATTAGCGCACATTAAACTCACCAGCCGTATACAAAGCAGTCATTAGTAGTTAACAGCTGGGCGGATGTGTAGCGGCACAGCAGCGAGAAAAATGTCAAAACAGCTGCATAAGTTATGATTTTGACCCGATGCTGGTGCTGCATAAGAGTCAAAGGATCACACTGGGCTGACTTGAGAAACATCCACCCAGTGGTTGTTGATACATGTCAGTCAGGGCTATAATTGACTGATTACACCACTATCTGTTAACACTGCCTACACAGTTATGCCTCTGTGTGTAGTCCAGGGTTCGTTTATCATTAGCAGCAAAGGTTATTCTGAATGGGTCAGTTCATCAAACACTTCCCACCTCATCATTCATTTTAGATGTTTTTTCCAGTTATTTTAAAACTGCATTATCTAGAAAACCACTTTTTATGGTGAATTCCTGCTTCTCTGTGGAGGAGTGTAACCCAGGTTAATACAAAGTGATGGATTACGAAAATTAACATTTTATTTATGGCGGCCAAAGATTATAATAATATATATAATTTTTTTTTTTTTTAGTGTGTTTGTTTTAAAATAAATGGCCTAAATTTCATTCAGTGCCTGCTATTTACTGGGTGAAATTGGATTTGACATCAAGCAGTGCTATAAAAAATGTCTAAAAATGTTTTACCTTCATCCCTTAAAGCATTTTTATTAGCAAGCTAATGACAGTAGGGGCCTGAAATGTTGTTATTAAGAATTGCATTTTTGCCCTGGCACCTTTTCAAGCCAATGTGGCGAACATCTTCATCTTAAACGCAAAACATCTGCAGTTCAAGACCAGAAAGAGACACAATCTCAGCTTCACAGGTTCACAAGCTAGGACCCTCCTTGTGCTGGCCCCCAGCTTGGATAAATGGGGGGGTGGGGTTGTGTCATATAGGGTGTAAACGAGTCATCCCTTCAGAAATAAGGAGCCAGCTACTTAGCTAATAGATATGATAAGTATAAGATGTGACAATATGATAATTGTGGAGCACTCAAATCACAGAAAAACGAATCAGTAACACGTTGCAGAGCAAACATTCGGACATTAGACACCAGCTTGTGGTAAAAGTGCTCATCCTCTTTCACCTCTGTTTCATCCTCTGACGCTCAAACAGCTGAGGTAAAATATTCAGGCTAGCATCCAGTTCTTTTGAATAAATCATCATGTTTTCTGTTCACTCTCAGTCGACTTTATTATATGCATTACACATAAAGGATATACCCTTGAAGTATCACTGACATAAGACACACAGAATATAATAAATGTTGCAGAGGCTGCTTGGTGTCGAGTGTGTGTCTCAATAAATGCGCAGCAGCATGCACGCTCAGCAAAACAACCCCGGGAACATGAAAGTTTAACAAAGCCAGTGCTTGCATTTAGGACACCAAAGCACCAAATGTCAAAGTCACGGATATTGCTTTGTGCAGTGTGGCCACACAGAGTGCAATATGTGGTATACAATATATTAGAGCTTTAAGTTAGACTTTTCTACTTGGTTATAAGATATTTATTATTAAACATTATACTTTTCACAGGAAAAAAAAATCTCTATCTATATACCTGATAGTCTTGCTGCTATTTCCACTGAGACAAAAAAAACCCTTAAAAAGCTATTTTTGTGCAGAAACAATTGCATTTCTTGTGTTTCAGTGCATTAACACCCAGGCTCACTCAACTAATTAGAAATGACGAAAAAAAAAAATACAAAGAAGTGTCATTCAATTAAAACTGAAATGGATGGCAACAGTAAAGAGATGTTGATGACTGGCAGGATAAGTAGAAGATGGTTTATTCAAAATAAGAAACATTAAATAAGTGCATGTGAGCAAGAACGTGGTTTTCAATTCACGTTCTTTGATTTATATTATTCCTTTCATTTAGTTGTGATTAAACAAAATCAATGTTCAATACACAGGCCAGTTTTACCTAAAGCCCTTCCCCTTCCTGATTTTTTACTTTTTTGCATTTTTGTCACATATACATGTTTCATTTCGTCACACAAAGATAACCAGCATCAATGCAAAATGCAGTTTTTAAATAATGGATTCATTTATTGAAGGAAAAAGTTATCCAAACCTACATGGCCCTGTGTGATAAAGCGATTGCCCCCTAAACCTAATAACTGGTTTTGCCACCCCTAACAGGGAGAACTGTAATCAAGTGTTTCTGATAGAAGCCAATGAGTCTTTCAAATCACTGTGGAGGAATTTTGGCCCACTCTTCTTTGCAGAATTGTTTTAATTAAGACACATTGGAGGGTTTTTGAACATGAAGGTCATGCCAAAGCATCTCAGTCAGATTAGAATCCTAACGCTGACTGGGATGCTCAAAGATCTTCATTTTGTTTTGGGGTTTTTTTAGCCTTAGGACATGAACAGAAGGCCAGACATTCTCCTACAGGATTTTGAAAAAGATGAAAAAGAGTTTTCACATGACTGTATATGATCCTGTTAGAATAGAATAATATATTACATAATGTAACTGGACCACAGAGCAAAGTCTGCTTTCCACCCACCTTGTTGTTGTGACAGAGACTGGGTACTTTGATATACGAGATAAATTTCACACCCTCTGGGTGAATGAAGGGACGGCTATGATTTCAGATGTTAAGGTTAGGATGTGGACCCAAGTAACCTTGCCAAAAGTGAAAGGTCCCTGATGGGATGACCAGTCAAGCGTGCAGTCAGGCTGAGTGTCTGCTTTCTCTTCTCCCCACACACTGTCAGGTCAGTAAACTCTACTATTGTGCAATATCACCCTACATTTTTTCCAACCCTCTCCATTTCTGTAACATCAATACACACACACACACACATATACACACACAGACACACACACGCGCGCGCGTGCGTATACAAACACAGCCTAGAGTGCAAAATGGGATCTCTAATGCATCCACTGAAGTGGTTTTAGCTATCTGACTGCAACATGATACCAGCATGGCTTATAGTGTTATTATACTGCAGCTACTCTGTAGAGTCATGCTTTCGCCAATCTCTCTTCTTCTTTTTAGTTCAAAACATGAACATGAATATCTCAAAGATTAAATACTGATATATCCACTGGTCCTCCTTACTATCAAAATGAATCAGAATCAGTCATTTGGTACATTAAAAAATGTTGAAGTGTTGGATAGTTCAAAGATTTTTTTCAATCCAGCAGTGTGCACTCAAATGCCATATTTGAACTCATTTCTGGTATATAGTTACATTTCACAATAACAAAAGCATGTGGAAAAATGAAATTTTACCATGAAATTCTTAGTCACAAAGATAAAGAAAAGGTTATATAATGCTAAAATTCCACAGCAATCATCCAACGTTTGTCCAAAGTTTACACAGATGGAGATAAAATGACCCGGGTTTTACATTATGAACGGAAATTTTTTTTTTTTATAGTACAGTTTGTCATATTTACTCAATCCAGCGTGGAAGTTGAATGAAAATGTCTTTTTTTCCATTGTTGTAACTTTGATCTTGAAAAATATTCCAAGTGGTTTATTTTACAGTGCTGTGAAACTGAAATAAGCATGATTCCGAATTATTGTCATTGAGTGACTTTTTTTTATTAGTGCTGGACTATATTATATTAATATATTATTAACTAGCCAGTTATCAGACATTTTTTGATGCATTTGTCCCAAATTACAGATCCTGATTCATTTTGATGGCAAGAAAGATCAATGAAGATGGTTTTGAGGTATTCATTCAATTCAATTCAATTTTGTTTATACAGCGCCAAATCAAAACAAGAGTCGCCTCAAGGCGCTTTATATTGTAAGGTAGACCCTACAATAATACAGAGAAAAACCCAACAATCACATGACCCCCTATGAGCAAGCGCTTTGGCGACAGTGGGAAAGAAAAACTCCCTTTTAACAGGAAGAAACCTCCGGATGAACCAGGATCAGGGAGTGACGGCCATCTGCTGCGACCGGTTGGGGTGAGAGAAAGAAGACAGGATAAAAGACTGCAACATGTTCAAACATTTCCACAGCAAAAAAAACCAACAAAATTGAAAGGGGGTCTTTGGACCATTTTTCAAAACAAATATAACTTTAAAAGTATTTGATATATAAAGCTAAAAATTTCACAGCATTCATTATATATGTTCAATCTTTGCATTATAAACATTTTTATGCAAATCTGCAAACGTTCTCGAAATCGACAGATTTGGGATGGAATGAATAAAGCAAGGCCTCCATTATCAGTTATTAAGGTTTTTTTTGTCCGCTTGCTATGATGATGAGCATAAATGTTATTGTAACAAAAGCTTTCAGAGCAGTGCTTGAATTAAATAATTTTTTAGGAACCTTTACTCCCCGAGTCTTCACTTGTATTGAAATGGTTCTCCAGATATTTCCAGAGGTTTGAATTCCACTTCTATGGAGAAGTACAGGAATTATGACCTGGTAAACACAGTATCCTGCATTTTCCATAATTTGCGTTATTACCACTCATTAAAGCCTGTTTCCCTGACAAACTCATACATATTCCACACCTGCAGGTTGTCATAAAGGTTTCCACAGCCCACGCTGAAATAAACTCATGACTCACTATGACATCACCTTAGCCCCACACTTCATTCAGCTCCTGCAAGGCCACAGTAGACATTAAACAGCTTTAGTCATTGGATAGCTGAGTCTATCTGAACATCTTGTACATAATCAATGCCGTGTCCTTTAAAAATCTTTGCCACTTTGTAATGCAGTGTTTCTTTTAATGGGCAGCTTAGCCCAAGATTACTCCAATGGTTTTCATTTTGAAAACTTTAGATGTGGAAACATAGCATGCTCTTCAAGCTCCATACAGTCCAGCAGAGCCTTTTACTCTGAAACAAGTGCTCCTAGATGCTTTTCATCGCTCTGCATTTGTATTAGTGGGAACTGCACAGTACAAAATCAGCATTGCCTAGCAACCAGGTGACCTTTCTTATTAGCTGTGTGTGAATGTGCATGTATGAGTGACTGTGATTGTAACAGGCAGGGAAATCCTCACATCAGGGTGGGAAAGCGAACCGGCATGCACTTAAATACAGCGCATGCATATCAGACTTGTGAATACACACACACACACACACACACACACACACACACACACACACACACACACACACACACACACACACACAGATGTCTCTTATAGGAAGTGACATACACTTACAATTACCATTCAACACATGCACACACTGTAATTAAATGTGAGAAAGATCACTCTCTGTCCTTAGTTTGCCACAGGGAGAAAAAAAAAAAGAGTATGTCCACTAAGCAAACATCTAGCTGTCTCCCCTCTCTCGAGCACTGGCACACCCACTGCAGTCTTACTGCACAAAAAATGCAGCACAGTGGGATGGGATGCCTTGCTTCAGGGCAAAGCACTAAACTGTTTAAGTGAACAGCAACACCATATCGTATCCACAGCTGGACAAGGTTAGAGAGAAAAAGTAGTTTAGTGAAGAAGTGACAAAACAGAGGCACTGGGTACCTGTCAGGTCCATAGTAATTGGTTCAGGTGCGTCATCGCACAGCAGGGTCAATCTGGTCACCTTGACATTAGGACCAGAGGCGTCTGAAGAGGAGAAACAGTCCATTATTGCAGAATTCAAGTGCCTGCTTGGCTTTTGTTTGTTCAGTTTTCATCTTTTCTTTTTTTCCTGATTGACTGAGCTCCACATCATGAACAGTAGCAGGGAAAATGAACAAGCTGGCCACATTAGATATCACTTATTTGATCTGTAATCAGAGGCTGGCCATTGCACTAATGCTGGAGTATCAAAAGGCATCTTAAAATACAGTATCTAACATTTAGAAGCACTAGAAAAACATGTTGTCCCAAGCTTGTATTTAGAGATAGTTTCGGTATTCAGCATACAGCTTCTCTTCGAAGATAAAGTCATCTCCCCTCTCTTTGCTGCTTTTCCATTGTCTCATTATAGCCTTTCTTACAGAATTCAATGCTACTAAGCTGTAGATGAGGTGGTGCTGAGTTACAGCAGTGAGGGAGTCAGAGCTGTACTGATATCAGCTGCTATAACACTGGCTGCTGGGTTAGAGATGCTGAGACAAGCAGGTCCGTAGGAAGTGTGTGTGTGTGTATGTGCAGGTTTGTGCATCACAAATTGTTGTTGTAAGTGGATAGTATTAAAGTATAAAGCTGCAGTAAGACTGGGCACCAGCGTGATTCATGAATCTTCCTCTTCCACGGCCAAAGAATAAACACACACCAACCTGCCATCATTGCTTCTGGCCCCAGCAGGGTCTGCTTGTACTTCACCAGACTTTCATCATCCTTGTCCAGCTCTTGAATCTCCTGCAGGGACTTTTGAGCTGGAGGGTTGTAGTTGAGATTTCGCTCATCATCTTCCTCCTCGATGGGCAAGTCATTCTTTTCAGCAATCAGACCTTTGAGAAAGAAGAAAGAATATCATATTACAGATGCACATTTTCTTGCAGTTTGCAGGCTGGGTGGGACCAGTGTTTATATCATGTACATTTCCACCCCCACTTACTCACTGTCATCATCATGTTTTTTTTTTTTTTCATATTTAAACCATTAACACTAAAAAAGGCTGTTTTTAAAAAGTGAATATTGTTACACTTCACACCTTTGGACTATTAATGTTTAGATGTGTTTACTTGCAGTTGCACTACATTAGCAGGATTAAAAATTCAAATTCAAATTTTATTTGTCACGTACACAGTCATACACAGTACGATATGCAGTGAAATGCTTGGACAACTGCTCGTGACCTAAAGAAAACAAAAAAGGAAAAGGCTATGAATAAGATAGGAAATAAATATGAAAAATTAAAAAGGGAAATAAATATGAAAAATTAAAAAGAGTAAATTTTACTAGGAAGGAATAAAATATAAATTAAAGTTAAAAAGGAAATAACTGTACAACACAAATTAGAATGAAGGGTAAATTTAACTGGGAAAGAATAAGATAAAATATATAAATTAAAGTTGAAAATAAAATAACTGTACAACAAAATACACAATATAGAACTATATAAGAATGTATGAAGAAATATAAATAAATATATACACAATAACAGCAGCTGTACAAGTATTAACTGGAAATGAAGAATATAGTGACCAGTGTTGTGCAATCCACATTATGTCTTCTGCAGTGCAAATATGCTTAAAGTGATTTAAGTGATGAAGTGAAAACAATGTCCAGAATGTCCAGTGTGTGTGTAAGAACTGTATGTGTGGGTCAGTACTGTGTGGTGGTGTGATTGAGAGACCGTATTAGCACAAACTAGCTGCTATATATTTTCTAGCTGAGTATTTCATCCATTTATTTTGGAAGCTTGTTTCTGCTACTAAAAAAAACAAACATTGCCATGTCAAAATTTTAACTTATTAGATTTTAACCTCCTAGGACCTGGCGTCCACATATGTGACATTTTAGGTTGTCTAAATTTTGTCTAAATTTGGCCTGATATCCACTTACGAGGACATTATACTGCCACTGTTCTAACAGAATTTAAAATCAGTGGCCTCTTATTTGGATCTCATTTTTCTCAGAAACAAAAATGAGGTAAAAAAAAAAAAAAAAAAAAAAAATCAGGTAATTCTTTGTTTTTACATTCATCAGGTCCAAATCACCCCAAATAGCAAAGGGAAATTAAAAATGCATGTCATAAAAGAGTTCGGGTCTTAGGAGGTTAAAATTATTTTGTTAATTTCAAGTCATTTTCCCAGAAAGTTTACATTAGTAAGTTGAAATTTTTACTTGTGGATGGGGAAAAATGTTTTTCCTTCTTTCAGTTGCAGAAACAAGCTTACATATAGCCTTTTATTTGTCTCATATTGTAGAGCATACTGTTCACATGCTATCCACATACTGAATAGCAACAAACAAACAGAGCAATGGTAGCGGTAGCAAGCTAAACACAATCTCAGTTGTGATTACAATTTTCAAAACTTGACACAGATGAGCACTTCTGAAACATTTGTAGTGTAAAACGCAATGCTGTCCATGGCAACACATCTAATCTGAAGAAACGCCTGGTCAAGTACAAAATAAATAAAAGCTAAAGGGTGTATTGTATTTGGTAACCTGGTAGCCAAATGTTAGCTAATGTTAGCATGCCTCCTTCCAACTTTTAAGAAGTTGAACCCACAGCACATGATGATGAAGAAATGTTTATTCATGCACTGACATGTTGTCCAGGGAGTCTAATAAGCTGTTATCAGAAATATGTGTGGTTAACATTTTTACATTAGCGGCACTGAAATTTCTTATTAGCATGCTAGTTACGCTAAACATGTTAACCATATGTGAGATAGTATGCCTAAAACCTAAGTATACAGTAAGCAATAGTTGTCTAAGATTACTATTTAATACTGTTGTACGCAAACACTGTGACAATGGCATCAACATCACTGACATTATCAGACAATATGGAATTACTTTGTAAGCAAAAATTTGCACTCTATCATTCTAAAACAAGTAAAGTACCAATAAACAAGTAATTAGTACTAAATTCCAAGTACTGGTACAGGTATCAAATGTGAAACGTACTCAGCCCTTAATTACCGACCTACAAAATACCTTAGGTTTGACAAGCACCTGTATACTATCAAGAAGCCAGTTATAACTGTCTGCCTGACAGTCATCTAATTGCAAGTAAGGAGAATAACCCTGTCAGCAACTTTCCTCTGCAGTAAATATTTCTGTTATATTTCTCAGGCAACACAGGCAGGATTGCTTCATGTCAGCTATATGATGCCTTTTACTCCACATAAGTCTGCTGGCTGCATCCATCCGGAGTTTGATTTCATCAGGGATTTTGATTCAATACTGAAATTTACAGACATTCGATAATGTGTTCTGCAAGCCAAAATTTCATTTCAGCATCTCCATCTCATGTGCACCTCCAGAGAGCGATGCTTGCAGGCCGGAATAGTTATATAAATGAAAGGATGTGACCAGATAATGCCACATACATGAAAGCTTGTCAGCACTGGCTCATATTTACAGGGATGTACAAAACGTCTAAAACAGGTTGTAGAATTTTGTACATTAGATATCAATTAATTAATTTTTTTTAAGTTTAGTTTATTTTTACATAGGGACACATGTGTTATATGAACCAGGCAACACCCCACAACAAAACTAGATTGCCTGTCGCTAGTTAGGTATTTATAACAACGTTTCAGTTTAATTTTAAAATTTTTAAATTATCCCAATCAGGCTCTAGGTTTGAAGGCAAAAAATTCCACATACAAATACTCCGAACACAGAATATTGTTTGACAAACAAGAGGCAACTTGCCTTTACAACTACTATATCATGCTACTAGTTACTAAGCCCAGAACTTTCACAGGAACCACAAAGTCCCTGAGCTCATTTATGTATAAACATTTATGTATAAACTTTAGATTAGTGAATGTGATAAAATGATCAGAACTTAAAAGTTTCTAAAGCACTTTACACCCTTTTTCTCTCTTGTTAATGCAGGTGAATCATCAGAATGGGCCCTGATGAACTGATTTCATGTAGCTCCCGGGCAAAGCAGTGTGCAGGTTGTGAAACTTTTCTGGGCTGAGAAGGGCAAGAAAAGCCCCGATGGCATTACGGGCCTGTTGTCAGTCACTGATGACTACAAGCCTGTAGTTCTTAAATCTCCTATATCAGTGCATACAAATCTGAATGTGTTCCAGCTTGCCTGTAGGTCAGGCAGGATTTTCATGATGTATTGGGCACTCTACTAAATATGATTCTGGCACATTTAGAGGGTGCAAAAACCTTTGCACCCTTTTTTAATTTAATTCTTCTTCAGCTTATATTTCTATTTGAGACCTGTGAGGATTCATATCATTGATCCTGACTTGATATGTGGTTATAGCATGTGATGGTTGATGGCATTTTATCCAATCTTCTCTAATCTTCTTTCCTCCACTGGACCACCACAGGAACATGTTCTTTTGATGATTTTGTTTGTGCTCTATACTAATGAGTGTGAAAGCCAGGTACCATATTCTTAAGTAGGGAGTGCAATTGTCCTTCTTGGACTTATCAAAAACTATGGAGATGATCGTGGATTTTAGGAAGAAGCCTATAACCACCTCCCCTGTGGTGATAAAGGATACATGTGTGGAGTCTGAACTGATTATAAGCTGGACTTTGAGCTGGATGCTGTAGCCTGCTAGTGCATATACTTTTATCACAAGCTTTTCTTTTTCATGTCAACAGCACTTTTATGAGACATTCTTTGGTCGCGGGTCACTGAACCTAAAAAACAAAAACAGACTTCAAGCTACGTACAATGTGCAGCAAACTTGCAGATGTGACCCTGAAAGACCTTCCTTGCCTGTGCAAGGTTAGGACACTGACTGCCTGATGAGCGCACTGGATTTATTTATGTTCTGCTACTAATTGTGACTAAAGGGTTTCCCAGCGATTGAGTGTGTTGCTCACTAACAACTACTTTTGATCATAAGGTGATTGCACAGGTTGCCTGATAGAGGCAACCTTGCAAACAGTTCCAGTTTGATTTGGACTGACTGCAGTCACTCTCAGAGATTGTTGAAGGTTTCCACATAATTGCTGCCTAAGTTATAAATGCAGACAGATTGCCAACCTATTGCCATCAGTCTGAATGAGTCTTTGTCAATGAGCACATCTTGGGGGAATTGGCTCAGTTTTCTTCCAGCTGGTTATAATCTGGTTATGTTCCTGTAGAGCAGGAAGGTTGCTGAGTACAAATGTAATAGCTAAATGTGAATTTCTGTCCATGTAGAGAGCAATCGATGGGTGATTTTCAATGATTTATTTCAGTAAATTGCTCTATAATCAGAAACACGCTGCATTTAATGGCGAACTTGAGCCCATTCAATGACAGACTGATAGCAAACTGACTTCATCTTATGGCAAAATTAATGACAGGTTTTAGAGACAGTGTTGGTGTATTTGATCTCATTTTGCAGCAAATAAATAACTGAACTGGCATCATTTTTATTGGATACTCAGATATTGGCAACTGGCATAATTTGGAGTTGAAGAAAATGGTTTAAATTACAATCGCAGTCATATCGCATAGTCAGTGAAGTATTCTGATAATATTGATCATATTGCTGGGTGCCTGTTTAGTCCACCTCTACAAGCCCCTCCTTATCAAAGGATTTAAGTTGCCTCTGTGTGGCTGCAGATAACATATGGCAAAGTGCAAATATATACAAATATACTCAAAAACCTATACATCCCAGCTGACATTTGTCTTTTGAATGAATCCCTGTATTCTTAATGTTGCATTGCCTTTTTATTGCATTTTGTTTGATGGTTATGTGATTTCTGCTGATTGTACAAAAAAATTAATTTCCCCTTTAGATTGATACAGATATCCTTGATCCTTTGTAACCACTTTACAAAGAATAATGTAGCTTTGAAG